GCCCAGAACTAGAGCCGAACTTCTTTGCCTACCTAGACGACATCATAGTCACTAGTACAACGTTAGAAGAGCATGTGAAACACCTCAAAGAAGTATTCCAGCGGCTAAGAATAGCCAACCTTAGTATCAACCCCGAGAAGTGCGAGTTTTTTTGAGAAAGAACTGAAGTATTTAAGCCACGTAGTCAGCGAGAAGGGCATCCATGCGTACCCGGATAAGGTAGCGCCCATAAGAGGGCTCACACCCACAACAAATCCCAGTCGATTCCTGGGAGTGGGATTATGGTACCGAAGATTCGTCAACGACTTTCACAAGTGCCGCATCCGTTGAAGAAGGCAAAAAGTGGGGTTGGTCCGAGGAAGAACAGTCAGCATTCGAAGCCCTGAAAGACGCCCTCACACAAGCACCGGTTTTGGCTTGTCCGGAATTCACTAAGAGGTTTACGTTGCAGACCGACGCAAGTGATTTTGGGCTCGGAGCAGTTCTAACACAAAAGTTAGAGGCTAGCGAACGAGTAATAGCATTTGTGAGCCGGAGACTAAATAAAGCCGAAGAGAACTACTCACCAGCAGAGAAGGAGTGTCTAAGGGAGATGAGGCCGTATCTAGAAGGGTACAACTTCACAGCGATTACCGACCACCTGGCGTTGAAGTGGCTCAACGCGATTGAGAGCCCCTCGAGTCGAATAGCGAGGTGGGCGCTAGAACCCCAACAATATTCGTTTAAGATGCAACACAGGAAGGGGAAGCTGAACGTCGTAGCAGGCGCACTATCGAGTCAACCATAAGAAGAACATGTATATAAGCCCGGGCAACAGGAAGACGCAAGCAAAATGATTACCCAAATAGCGGAAGAACCAAGGGCAAAAGTGTGTGCAGATTTCATCGGCCTGCTACCACGATCAAAACACGGTAATACAATGGCTCTCGTCTTTCTGGACCGTTTCTCCAAATGGGTAGAGGTCGTGGCAGTCCGCAAAGCCACAACCGAAGGTCTCATGCGAGCATTCCGAGAAAGGATCTTAGCACGTTTTGTTGTCCCAAAAGTACTGATCACGAACAACGGAGCACAATTCACTAGTAGGTTATTCAAAGACTTCTCACGCGAGCATGGACTGAAACACTAGCTAACCGCACCCTACACACCGCAAGTGAACCCAACCGAAAGTGCAAACAGGAACATTAAAAGAACGTGATTGGGACGAACTACTCCCGGAAATAACACTCGCACTCAATACCTGCGTAGGTGCATACACAGGGTACAGCCCGGCGTATATAGTCCAGGGAAGAGACCTGAGAATACAGAATAATTTTTTCGACGAACACACCTTCGGAACCGCGCAGAAGACCCCGACACCAGCATAGAAAGCAACAATGATGGCAGAAGTTTAAATAGTAATAGTTCGAGGTACTCAACACCGCGCAGCAGCCGATCAAGCGCGTTATGATAACCTCCGAAGGCGAAATTGGCAACCAGCTATAAGCGACTTGGTGTAAGTGAAGGTGCACCACCTTTCAAAGGCGATAGAAAATTTTGCGGCCAAACTAAAAAAAATAAATATATAAGAGAAAAAATGTTTCCGTTAAAAGACATAACACACGGAAAACATAGTGTTAAGAAACAAAAACAAATGAAAAACAAGAAAAATATAATAAAAAATTAAAAAAATTTTATTATTTTATTTTAAAATGAGAAAGTGAAAAAGAAATTATATATAGAAGACAAAAACCATGCATAAAAAGAAAAAACTTAAAAGTACATAAAAAGTTTTCATATGGATGCAAAAGGAAATATACATATATATATATAAATAAAAATATATACAAACAAGATATATATATGCAAACATACATTAGGGCGCTAAAACAAATATACGCGATATACACGAATAAACGGAATTACACTTACACGACGCGAAACAAGCACAACGAGGCAGAGCAAAAAGTACCAGTGAGCCTGCGTCAACAATAATATTTGTACGAAGCGAGGAATATGCATGTAGCAGCAGTAACGACGACGACGACGTGCGCGCATCCACACCAATCACAATATCGTCCAAGAGTGAGGAGGAACAGCCGGCGAAGCGACCAGGGGAACTCGAATACCCGAGGGAGGCGATGAAGTGCGTGGCAGAGGATGAGTGTGTGCGCATATACAATGAAACGATGTCGACAAACGACGAACCGCAACAACGACTGGCGATTTGTGTGAATACGTAAACGTGGAAGGCGAGATAAAGCGGTGGCTACAGAACGCTGAAGCCACGACACCAAACACTTGGAACAATATGACAAGCGTCGAACCATTGCCCAAGGCCCTAATCAATGACATTGAGGTGCACATATAGCGACCACAGCAGCGACGGATGAGGCGATCTTTTAAACGCCAACTCGAGGGTAACAGCTACCGCGTAATGATCACACGTAGGGGTTTGGGGACAATAAGTCTCGCAGAGGGAAGTGAAGGAAATCCGAGGCTTTGGGAGACCTCACAACTTATTTAAAAGACAATGAATTTACATATATGAAATCATTGAAATTATAGTACATAAATATACATATACACATACATACAATATAATATTAACTTAATATTATATTGAAATGATTGAAATTACAGTACATATATACATATTATATATACATACATATAATATATTTACTTAATATATAGATATACTTACTTACTTAAATTATTAAAATAAAAACAAAGATACATTACATACATACACACGCTGAAGCCAATAAGCATGTTCGAACATGAATTTATTTGTATCTACATACATACGTACACATACAATAAGTGGAAAGCCGTACGCAGCAATAAATTGTTATTATAAAATAACATTCTGCCTGCGTGCAGATTAGTATAAAAGGCGATAGGTATGCTTGCCCGTGGGATCAACACCACCGGCAAAATTAATGTCCCTGAGCGTTTTCACCTCACGAACACTTATTTATACTTCATTGAGAGTTCTCATCTCATTGGAAAAGGAGCTAGTAGAGGGTTTTCACCTCCACAGCCCTTCCGAGAAGTAGTAAATATTGTATATATACGAGGTGTGTTCAAAAAATATCACAAATTTTGAATTTTTGCTGGTTACGTATAACCGATTTTTTTGTGGCGTTATGTTGGTACTCATGTCTGTCACTTATGCCGACAAGCTCGGCCATTTTGAATGTTCATTTAATTGTTGACAGCTGCTTTGCTTGCACGTGTTTTGGATGGTCTTCGATTTTTACATATTCAAAAAATGGATCAAAGAACCTGTATCAAATTTTGTGTGAAAAAGAAAATTAAGTTCGCAGATGCATTCCGAATGTTGACTGAGGCATACGGAGAAGCTACCTTGGACCGAAGCAACGTTTATCGGCGGTACAAAATGTTCTCAGAAGGCCGAGAAGATGTGAACGACGAAGAGCGTGCCGGACGCCCGAGCACTTCAACAACAGACGAAAAAATTAATGAAGTGGAGAAAATGGTAACGCCTCTGCTCACACATCGTTGCTTGGGCGCGACTTTTTGGCCGAAAACAACACACTACTGATGCCCCAGCCACCGTATTCCCCAGATCTGGCCCCCTGTGACTTTTTCTTGTTCTCTAAACTGAAGAGGCCCATGAAAGGACGACGTTACGCTACGATTGACGAGATAAAGACGGCATCGAAGGAGGAGCTGAACAAGATAAAAAAAATGATTTTTTGAAGTGCTTCGAAGATTGGAAAACCCGTTGGCACAAGTGTATAATATCTCATGGGGATTACTTAGAGGGGACAAAATAGATATTCATGAATAAATAAATAATTATTGAAGAAACACAAAATTCGCGTTATTTTTTGAACACACCTCGTATATTGTTTATAACTTAAAAAATTTGTTGTAGCGAAAATAGCGTGTTGTTATTTTAGGATAACCTTCGCAAGGCTGAGCTTCCCCAGCCAACATAGACTGCTCGAAATTAATTCCAACTGGAACATTGACCGGAAAATTTCAAAAAGTCAAATTTATAGATCGATTAATGTACATATATGTAGAAAACCTGTTTCATTAAAATAATAAACGAGTATTGAAAGCAATAGTTATGAATGTAAAAATATATATCTGGAAAAAAAGTTATAATAAGCAATGGAATATCCAACTAACAGGTCTATTCTCACTGTTAGTGGTAAAGTAAATTCTGTTATTTTTTTAACACCCGAAATGGAATTTGGTATTCTGGCGAACTGGTTACAATGTTTGAAAAAACTTTGGAAGCACTGCTTTCCATGCCAAAATACGTTTGCCAGTTGGCAAAGTAAAAAGAAGAATATTCATACATATTTTTGATTTCGTTTGTTGTTAATATAGAACAATGATCGTGTAACAGAAGGTTGGCTCGTTAGACAATTGCCCCCAACGAACTCCTGATACGACCCGTGGGAAATGAAATTTTGTTGTCGAGAGAAACCTAAAATAAAGCGGAGACATCTTTGCCGCCTGTCTGTCCAAAAAAATTTTTGATCGAAAAATTATATATGAAAACGAACATCTACTTCGTTGTCATTGATGCCAATTCGCTTACAAGCTCTAAGCAAATTGTTTTATTCAGGCGAAATTTCTCGCAAACTTCTTATCATACGTCTTCTTTCACTTTTTTCTTTACATCCAATTAATTTTAGACGTAAAATTGAATATACATTTTGGGTTTTTTGTTTTTTTCACAAATTAACAACACGAATTTGAACAGCTGATTGTTTGTTACCTCTTATTTCGCTGTTAACAAAACTTGCAGGGTGACTGTGAACTCAGAATACAAATAGTAAAGAAATATACTGAATGGTAAATTTTAATACCAAAGTAAATTTTTTTACCTCGACAGAATAGTCCTGTAAATAATTCATTGTTCACATGCGAGTCGAGTTTTTTCAACTCTGATATTGTTTGATGAAATGAATTAATGAGAATAGAACCGGTTTCGGATACCTATAATATTATTTCAGTAGCTACAAAGAGGTTAACGACAGAATCTGAGTATGCTTTGCTAATATAAAGTAAAAAACTCTTTTCATCTTCTAGTTTAGTATTTTTTCGCACAACGTATACGATTCAAGCCAGAAAAATATTGATAAAATTTATTGTTTAGTGTAACTAGGCAAAACAATAAATATAGTGAGAGTGACGTTCTCCGGAAATCCTGAGAACATATTGTTCTTGGGATCCTAATCAACCAAAAGAGCCGACCTAATGTAAACATTTTATTTTTTAGGAATTGTAGAGGTATATTATACTTGTGGAAACACAAATATAGTTATAGTAAAAGTAGTGGTTGTACTTTTACTCTCTACATATGTAAAATGAAAATTCCACTAGTATTCCTCTTAAATTTGTCTACAGCTTTTCTATCAATGCTTGGAAACAAAGACGGTATGTGTTACATTATTTAGGATACAAAAAATTATTGTATATACATGTGTAAATATTAGTTGTTTTTGCGATATAGGTGTAGATAAGATAATATCAATGCTAATAAACGAAAATAGTTGATGCGAAGAGTTTTACATATTTTTAATAGTTCATTGCTTTCATCAAACTTGTGTTGGTTTTAGAATTTTATCTCACTTTCATTGATTATCGCATCTAAGCCCGTAGGCTGATTTGAGTAAGTTATGAGGGCTTCGAAATGAATGAACCTGTGTTTATTATTTGGTTTATTCATTTATGTATTGTAGTTTCTCCAAAATAGTGTAACAAAGATTGCATATTATGACTTACTTGCTTTATTCCACATATTTCTTTCGCATACTTTATTCTATTAAACGCATTTAATATAATAAATTTATGATGGATATGGATGATAATAAATAATTTGGGCGGCATTTTTGCTTTAGGTTAAACAATAAATGTTGATATTTTTACTCTAACATTTACTTTATTTATTATACTTTAAGAGAAATTAAAAGAAAAGGGTTTTCCATTAAGAGTTGTTATTTTGATATTAATAGAAACTTTTCTCCTGTAATAGCGATGTTTTCGTTGCTTGTGTGGTACATAGCGCCGTTTTATTGGAAGTAAACGTTGTCCAGATCAATGCCATCAAAATCCATGCATAAAAAACCACGAATCATACCTTGATAGCGGAATACATTCATTTTCGAAAAAGTAAGTGGTTGTTTCGATCCTTACCGGAAAACGACTGAGGAGAAGATATGGTGATCTCCGAAGAGGTGTCACTTCTACAGCCCTTTTTTGTATACCAATACATTCAATTTAAGCAAAGCAAAAAGGACTTTCAATAATACAGGCCGCAAAACTAAGGATTAACTGCACAATGATATAATATACATTTTATAATCTGATTTATTTAAATGGAAAAAAAATCAGTTGATGGCGCAAAAACATATATACATCCGACACGGGTTGTCAAGAAGCGAGTAGGCAACAAAGATTGAATTACTGCACGAATTTTATGTTTACAATTATTTTATCGTCTAATAGAAAGCATTAATCAAGCAAATAACTATCCATAAAAGCAAATAGACTATTTCCATTAAAAAACAGCAACAAATTTAAAGTAGTGAGTTATTTTCAATAAATACACTAATCTACATTATTATATTAATAGTGTTAGTTCAATTTATACACCCAATCTTGTTATATGGAAAAAATATCAAATTGATAATGATACCGGTTCAGTTAGCGAAGAAGATGCGATGCTCACCTCAAAAATGGTTCCCATCTATCTGTTTGCAAAATTTAAAGAAAGTTTGACAATAAATTAAGGTTTTTCGAAAAAATAACATCAAGCCTTCTTCTGTATAAATAATTTAAACAAAATTCGAGCCAAATTAACCTCTCCGTCCTTAATGAGACAATTTTGGTGTTTTACTAAAATAATTGGAAATAAATACGAACAATATTTGGTAAATAACCTCTCAAGGCGTAATGGCTGGTGTAAGAGATCTCAAAAAGAAATGAAAAAAGTATTTTTTTTATCGTGAAAAAATTTTTCCACTTTTGTATTTTTTAGACCGTTGACTCTTACATAAAAATATAATTGTGGTTCTGCAAACTGCCTAGCATCCACTTTGCTCTCTAAAAGCTTTTAAAAAATAATTTGGAAGGTTAAAAAGTGGTTATACTTTCAATTTTGTTTATAAGTCTACACCGGGGGGTCAAGATACAATGTATTGAACTCAGTATTGATAATTCTTTTATTTTTTCAAAAATTCAATTTTTACAACTCCATATACATACATACGTAGGTAATTAGCGATTATAATAGATCAAAAAGTGTTTGGGTTTTTAATAGACTTTGAATGAAATACATATATATATAAAAAATTTTATATCCGTAATAACTCTGAAACAAATGATTTATCAAAGAAATACCCTGTCTGGTTACGAAATTTCGTTAAAATATCTTGAATACTGATATACTAGCTCGTCTTCCAATATGTAGGTTGATATAGGGAAATCTCCTCGCCTCCTTATCTGAATAAAATCGGTCTAAGGTAAAATATAACATTTGCATGAATTTCAATGTTGAGTAAAATTTCGAAAAGATTAAAATTCGCCATATATATTTATTTATATATTTGAAATCGGAAAATATTCTATTAAGCGAATAGGGTAGCACTGAAAAGAGGAATAATGTTTACTGTCAGGCAACGATGAAGCCGATTACGAAGAGAGAATGAAAAAACCTTTAAATTATTATATCATGGCTGAGCGCTCACCCAGCATGCTTGTGAGTTTTCCCTAAAAATTAGTTGAAAACAGAATGAACAGCCAGGAGCTGTCAAAATTGAAATGCACGGGTTCTTATAGTAACGAACGAAATGACGACTACACGTCCCCATGGCCTCACAACTATATTTGCAACTGTGGTCAAATCAGGTATATTCCTTATTTGACAGCTTACAAAGAGTAGGAACATTATTGCGATAGCGCATGAAATGTTTATAGGTACCATAAATTTTACTTGATTTGAACGAATATATGAAATCAGCATCTATAAATAAGCTAGTTTCCCTTCGTAATGTAACACGAAAATAACTTATTGATAAAAAAAAATATATTCCATTTATTAAATACTTTATATGTGGCACAAAATATGTTGCTGTCGACGCCACGTGACTACATATCTATCGTTTTGCGTTTTCACGATAGATGCTGTACAGTGCTGAATACTTCCCATTCGTAGCGTTCTCACGACACACTTTATATTTATTATTCTAACTTCGAAAGCACAAACGAAAATGGTTTCGCACTTCGGGTGCTGCTCCTTTTATACTTATGCTACGGGAAAGCATACAGTTATATCGCTGTGTCTCGGCACCCTAGTGTTAAAATAATATGATATATACATATATATGTAAAGTAGGTAGTTGGCAACCCTCGAGGCAACATGAGAAGTAAACGAAAGAATAAATGAAACGTGAAGAAGTTAGAGAAGCGGTAAAGAAGAGGAGTCAGTCGGTCGCAAAGTTTCAGTTAACGAGGTCGCCAAGTTCGCAGTAGAATAATAAGTTGTCCTTCGAAAATTCCAGAACGTTGCTAAATTCCAATAACTAAGTCGTCAAGTCGTCAAGTGGTTAGATCCAATGCTGTATAACTCTTCAATCAACAATATTTAACATCCTCAACTACTATTACATTTTCTGTGTATTAAATCAAATTATCAAATAACTTAAATATAATAAAACATTTGATTAACATTCATTGTTACATCTTATATATATTTTTCAAAAAACTTAATTTTTGACAGAAAAGTCTTGATGGAGTTTTTCCTTAAATTTTGGGTTTTATAGTAATTAAAACTATGCCTTTACTTTTACAAGGTGATAACGCACTGGACTGCTCACAAAATTCTCCATGATTTCGATGCAGCTGCTGCTTGATTTAGGCACATTAAGCGCCTAATAATAATTGTATAATGCGCCTAATTAAAATCATCAGTAACTTTTTGCTAATAAATTGAAATATATAGAAATTAAATACATATTTAAGTTTGCTTTTCAATATTTTTAGTTATATGTTTACGTTAAGCGACGATGACGACGCCTTAATGCTCTAACATTATACTTAAAGAGGTGAGCTAAAAAGAGCCGTAGAAAGTATCGGGCGCATTCACATATATACGAAAAATAATCAGCGAATATTATTTATCGCCGCCAGGGAGTTGCAGGACATAGACGAGAGGTTTCAGTCATTCCTTAAGATGAAAAATTCTACTTTTCAAACACTGGGCTCGTTTGTGGGCCCAACCATTCAAAGACAAAGACAACTTTTAAAGAAGGTGTTGGCCACGAAGAGCGATTCATGATAACCGTCGGTAAAAATATTTTTTATTTATTTATTTATTTTCATTTATTACATAGTGCTCCCCATGATCGTTCGTATAAATAGTGGATGACTGATTTGGATGAGGTTAGTTTCGCCGGACGAGATAGTGTCGGAGGCATTTTTCAAGTTTCGCAATTCCAACGCTGGCTAGAAAGAAACATCGACATTCCGGTCCCAATACCATGGCCACATGACGACATTGGAACCCGATTACTTTTTGACCGATACTTCATTTCCGTTAAGGATAACTATTATACAATGCGGCCGTATCCAGAAAGAAACATCGTAAAACGAAGCGAATATTCAATTAACCCTTGAGTGGCGAACGAAAACCGATTGAATGTGTATTCCACATGATACCCAGAAATTTAAACTATTGATGAAGGTGCCGAGAGTATAGTACTTGCAACATAATTTTATACACAAACACGAACACACGGAAAATGACAACCAACCAATGTACCGATGCGGGCCAAGGATATGCTTCCAGCTAATTTCACGGCACAGAAAATTTGGAAATATGTTTCCAACTACTTTTTTACTGCGTCAATTTGCCTTGCCATGGCAATGAAATCATTATAAATATATACAAAATACATCGTAAGTTTACAAATTATTTGTTGTTTAGGTTTATTCCAATTTATATCATATAGTCTTTAACATATACCCTTATTTTTCGCGAAATTTCCGTCTATGATTTATCAACAATGTCTCCGTGAGTAGTCTTGAATTGTATTGTTGTATTTATAAACACGGATGATTTCCCACTGTTTGGGCAAATATCACTATCACTTCACTCATTTTTGTTTATTTAAACTTTTATTTAATGAAAATGAAAAATATTCCAGGCTTCGATGCACACAGCTTGAATGAAGAAGCGAAAACATTATTATGAAGTATATGTATGTACATATGTGCGTTGAAATACACGTGCTCGACGCAGAAGGGCCATATTTTAGTATGCCGAATCGTTTACACAACTATGATTAGGTGCTTAATGTGTAGAAGTCCTAAATGGAGATAACGCGCGTTTCGGGTTTTATAGCACTGTCAAACAGTTTCAGTTTGGTTTATAATTTAACCATGAATCGTTTTACAAGGGAACAACCCTTGCAAATTATTGATTTTTATTATCAAAATACGTGCTCTGTTTAGAAATTTAATCGTGCGCTTCTTCTATTTCCGCCACGAACCTCATTTTTGGCTTAATGGGTGTGTAAATAAGCAGAATTGTCGATTTTGGAGTGAAGATCAAACAGAAGCATTGCAAGAGCTGCGAATGCATCCAGAAAAAGTCACAGTTTGGAACGGTTTAGTGGCTGGTGGCATCATTGGACGGTACTTCTGCAAAGATGATGCGAATCATAACGTAAATGAGAATGGCGAGCGCTATCGTGAGATGATATAAAATTTTTTTTTCCCAAAATGCCAGACCTTGGCTTGCATGACTTGGTTTCAACAAGAGTTTTGAGAGGAGAGTTCATAGAACAATTTATTTTACGTTCGGGACTGGTAAATAATTAATATTGGTGAAATCGTTAGATTAAAATTTTTAGTACAACGTCAGTTTTTTCTTTGATATTTTCATTAAGTTTGGCTTCAGCATAGATGAAAAAGCTAAATGCAACAAAAATAGAAATCAAAAGCCTTATTGATTTAAACAGAAAGCACAGATAAGTTCCAAGACTCGTTGGTGTTTCTTTAGGTATGGTAAATATAAAAAAGTCATAAAACCCTTTATGAATAAAAAAAAAACAAGTCTGGACGAATTACAATTTTGAAAGTAAAAAAACCACTCTTGATAAAATGACACTAAAAATAAGTGTGGCGCAAGAATGTTTCGGACGCCATCTTCCAGCAGAACAATGACTTCTCGTCTTGCCAAAGCTTGGCTTCAAAACAAAAGCTTTGAAGTACCACTCAATCACCAGACCTCAACGCAATCGAACATGCTTGGGTTGTGGTCAAGCGTACAATTTCTGTTTTACCAAATAAGTGACAGAATCTTAACGATTTATAGCATAAGACTCAAAATTATTGAATTGAGGCAGCAGTCAAAGCAAAAGAGGGTTGCAGACCGTGGCAACGTGAGCAACCCTTGTGCAAGATGCCATAACCATCCCGTGCGGAGTCTTGGATCACGGTATTGTTGTGTATACTCCGAGGACAAAACATTGACACGGCCCATTATCTTTCTGCAGCGAATATACTCATGCGCCTCTGTGTGTCAAAGAACGCCCATCAACAAAAAGAAAAGTACGACGTCGAAAAGCTGTAATCACAACAGACTGCCAAACGATTTTCTACTCGACTTGCACTCCTAATCCCTGAAAGCATGCATCAGCAACTTGGTATATGGGACCTGTGGAACTGCATTTCAAGTTCCTTACGTACAGCTGCCAACGAAACTTTTTCACTTCATAAAGGTAGTAAAAACAGCTGGTACGTTGAGAATTGCCGTCTCGCAGTGGAGAAGAAATAAACTGTCTGCCTTGCAACTTTGCGATCGACCACAACAGGTGCGGAATGGGATAGATACCAAAAGAAGAAGAGATAAGCAAGACGCATCTGAGGACAAAAAAAAAAGACTCCGAGATGCGTGAGTGTAAAGAGCTTGAGAAGCTGGCCGGCAAGGGTAATGCTCGAAAATTCTATGAGAGGATTCGATGGCTTACGGAAGGTTTCAAGACCGAAAATCCGGAGATGGTGCCTGAAATCCAGATCGATGACAATGGAAAAGACGTTCCATTACCTGACCATGAAAACCAACAAAGCGGCGGGAGCTGACGGCCTACCGGCAAAACTATTCAAACATGGCGACGAAGAGCTGACAATGTGCATGCATCGTCTACTTTGCAGAATATGGTCGAACGAAAGCATGTCCGACGATTGGAATTTAAGTGTGCTATGCCCAATACATAAGAAAGGGGATTCCACAGTCTGCGTCATTTATCCTCCTTAATATCGCCTATAAAGTCATGTGGAGCATATTGTGTGAAAGGCTAAAGCCCATCGTCAACAAACTCTTTGGACCTTATTAGTGAGGCTTCAGACTTGGTAAGTCAACCATTGACCAGATATTCACCATGCGCCAAATCTTGAAAAAGACCCGTGAAAAGAGGATGGACCCACCACCTCTTCGTCGATTTTAAAGTCACCTTTGACGGCACGAATATTAGCTACATTTACGGCGCTATGTCTGAATGTGTTATCCCCGCAAAACTTATACAGCTATGCAAACTGACGTTAAGCAGTACAAAAATCTCCGCCAGGATCGGGAAAGACCTCTCTCGTTTGATACAAAGCGAGGTTTCAGACAGGTTGACTCTTTGTCGTGTGTTTTCTTAATTTGATGTTGGAGAGAATAATAAGAGCTGCAGAGCTGAATTGAGAAAGTACTATTTTCCAGAGTGTACAGCTGATGGCGTTTGCCAATGATATTGGCATTATTAGCCTCAACAACCGCGCTATGCTTTCTCCAGACTGGATAAGGACGCGAAGGATAAAGGTCTAATGGGCAAGACGAAATATCTCTTGTTATGAAACACAGAATCATCGCTTTCGCGACTCGGCTCGTCACGTCAGTTTAGACAGTCAAACTTTGAAGTCGTATATAATTTCGTCTATCTAGGAACCATCATTAACATCAATAATTAAGTCAGGCTTGAAATCCTACGCAACGCACTCTCGCCATTAGGTGCTACTTTGGACTGAGTAGGCAATTGAAAATCGAACGAAAACCACACCCTACAAGTCCCTCATCGTTTCCGTCCTGCTATATGGTGCAAAAGCATGGACGATGACAGCAACTGATGAGGCGGCGTCAGGAGTTTTCGAGAGAAAGGCTTTACGTAAGATTTATGGTCCTTTTCGCATTGTCAACGGCGCTTATCGCAGACGATGGAACGATGAGCTGTGCGTATAACTATAACTACGACGATCGGCCAAAACGATTAAAATGATTGAACTTGCTCAAAAAAAAATAAATAAAATAAAAAACAGCAAAAACAATAATGCATATGAAATTATTATAGGAAAAGGCATTAGCAATGCCAGCTGAAGAAACAAAAAAAACTGCCACAAGTAAAGAACTACACTTGGAGACAGATTCTTAGCTGGAGCATTTACAATGCGAAGCTCTCGTCTAATAAACCCAAGAGGTCGTAAGTTATATAACACGGCGAAGTGCTCCCAAAACTGGTATGACTTTATTTTCCCATGACAGCCAGATTACTCACCAAGGAAATTGCCTAACCTTATTGACTTTGTAGACTCTAAAAACGTAGATAGGAATTTAGTATTTGCTGAAACCCGTACATACATATCCTCTGATCACTCCCCAACAATTAAAAATTTATTGAAGAGCAAGTTGATATCTAAAATTAACTTGCTAAAATATAATAAATTCATAAGCAGTCGTATACGGACCGTTCGGGAACAGAAGAGTAAACATGTTATAGATAAGGAGGTACTTTTATTTAACAGTATGCTAGCGAGGCAGAAAACTCCGCTGAAGGCTGAAAAAATTATAAGTAACAGCGAAATAGAGCTGCTGGTTCGGAACAAGCGACGCTTGCGCGACGAATAGAAAGCTTACCGATCGTCCTATGCAAAAATCTAACTAAAGATAGCAGAAAACAAGCTATGAAAGACATTACGATACGAAGAAGAAAGAAATATAAAAAATTTTATAAAGTCTTTTTTTCCCAACGCTTCTTCTAAAAAATTGCTGGGGATAGCAAGCAAAATCCTTAAGCCGCCGGTAAGCACTGAAGTACCGTTGAGACTGCCAAACGGTTCATGGGCCAGAACAGATGAAAAAAGGGACTTGTTTTGCAGAGCACCTCAGTGCAGTATTTCAACCAAATACTGCTAACAAAAATGTACCTTTGTCACCAAACTATAATGCTTCTAGAAAGACTGTTACTTGCAGAGCATCTGTGTCTGAATTAAAAAGCATAATTACTGCCTTAAATTCAAAAAAATTTCCAGGAGACGATCATATCTTACCAAAAATGCTAGAAAAATTTCCAAGCATTGCCCTCGTTTTTCTTTCAAAGCTTTTCAGTGCCATATTAAAGCTAGGACATTATCCACAAATATGGAGTCACAGATAAATAAGATAGCTAAACCTGGTAAAGACGCACCCGCATCGTCAACAAATAGACCAATCTGACTCCTTTTCCTTTTCTCCATCAAAATGATATTTTTCCTACTTATCAATTTGGTTTTCGCGAAAAACATGGTGCAATTGAACAAGTTCGGCCGTTTTTTTGATGTGGCGCAAGCATTTGACAAAGTGTGGTAAGGCATCACCAAACACAATATCCTTGAATCTAACATAACAGGGGAGTATCCTATCACAGCAGGTGTTCCGCAAGCTAGTGTTCCTGCACCAATATTGTACATACTGTTCACCGCAGATATTCCTCCAAATTTCATAGTAATTACACCTTTGAGGATGATACTGCTATACTAAGTCGACATAAATGCTCCATTACAGCCACAACATTGTTACTAGGACTGAAGAATGGCGCATAAAATTTAAAGAAAACAATGCAAACACATAACGGAATCCACTTGGGTAGGTTTAACCTGGGGACGACACATTGATGCTAACCAGTTTTCATTGGCTTTTAAACAAGAAGACTGACAAAAACAATAAGAATAATAACAAGCACACCATGGTACATGCGTAATGTAAATATGAATATAATCTTAACTCAAAAAATTATTACTTAACAAAACTGCGTATCCATCTGAGCCCTTTGGCCCATACAACTAGTCAAACCCGCCAGCGGAGAAGCGACAAAGCAGCCTTCTAAAGATCAACAACAAGCCAGCTACCGGAAGATTTAATAAATAAATATTTATGTTAAAAAAAGAGCAAGCGACATCTCATCATTAAAGTGGGAATCAATTTTGATGTTCCAACTAGAAAAAGAAATAGGGTCCATAATATCATTGCAGAAAGTAATACGAGTAGATAGAAGAGGTAAGGATGATTATGAAAACAAAATAGCAAAGTGAAAGTTCTATTCAAATTACAAACAAAATATATAAGCTGCAAAAAATGTTACCAAACGTGTGCG